TCCAAAACGAACGAAAAGTGTAAATTAATTTAACGGAAGAAAAGTTATCTCTATAAGCACAAAATTTTATGTTTACGATCACGCCTATTAGTTCTATTTAAAATTTTTAGGCACCGACTGGCCTCATAGCATGTCACCTTTTGAAAACTTTCGTTCCTACGACGTCCCCATTGGTGAAATCAAGCAAGATCCAGTTTCTCTTGCTGAACCCCAACTCATTTAATTTAAACGAGTCAAGGATAACATGAATCGCTGGAAAACTGTTTTGAAATCCACACTCGGAATGTAGGCAGTTGACAAACTATCATATATGAAATCACATTAAATATTAACTGATACTTAGATGTTAACTTCACTGAAACCCTATTATTGGACGTTTTTTATTTTTACTATAATGTTTATTACGTTTTTGGTATGGGAATACATTCTATACATCTATAAACGAAGTTTACTAAAGTAGGGCCATTTCTGACGTTTTTAGGATAATGCGCCTTTCTAAAGAAATCAAAATTTCTGAACTATGCAACGCTACCTTTAATATTTCCTTATGTTTTTAATTCTTTTAAACATGTACTTAATTAACAACGAGAAGGGATTCATGAAATGATGTCGGTTTGCGAGTGATTGGCAATCATTCGTAAATCTCGACACAGTTCATGGGTTAGGTCATTAACTGTACATATATCTACTCCGGTATCCAGCCGTCCACATCGGCGTTAGACCCAACCAGGGCTGGATGAGATGACCGGCGGACATTTTATCTTTTAGCAAATGCCTAGACCCCTCCAGGCCCTTGCCCCCCCTCCCCACTTTTCTACGAAGTGCAAGAAGGATGCAACGAGGCAATCCTTTTTACGCGCCACAGTACAGTCGTTCCTTTGAGATGCGATCGAAGACACGACTACAAAGAATGTGGTGCATACCCCGTCGATTTAATACATCCCGGTAGAGGGGTGCTCACTTCTCGCGTTACGGAACCCGCTCGCCCCATTGTGCCATGGGGCTCTCTCTCTCCCGAGTCCTGCCAACAGCCGCACGGAGGCAGAATAACTCAATCGGTGAGAGTCCCTCTACCACCGTTAGTATACTCAATCGTAATCGTCAGGACAACGAACAGGCGGTTTAATGGTTAGGACATTCGACTTCTTACCAACAGGTCGCGAGTCCAGCCTCTAGGTTGCAAACATCGCGGTTGGGTATGGCTGGCTGATGACGGCCACCAGGCCCGGAATGACCATTTCAGTCTTTGTTAGTAATCGTATTTTACCGGAAACTATTGTCTTTGTCTGATCTTGCCAAATGATTTGATCCCTCCCGCCGTCCCTCTATACGAAGGGCAAGGAGGCTGTAACTGGTTGATTCTCTTCACAGACTTTCGTCTGACATGCAGTCGAAGAGATTACTTCAAAGACTATAGTGCACACATGGTCGAATGAACACATCCAGACAAATGATCACTTCGTAGTGCACCGTTTATGTCTCACATCCACAAGAGACGGACTACTCGCAACTTGGAATACAGACTGATTTCACGCCGAACGCAGAGATTTCTGTGCAGTCAGGTTGGTTCTGTATGCACTCTCAATCAATTCGACGATTGTTTTCAATGCCCCTTTCCCCATTAAGTAAAATTGTGGGACATTTTAAGTAGCTAAGCAGAAAGAGATTGTGAACTCAGAGTGCTGCAATCAGAAGGTCGAGTCCACTATAGTAGGAGAAGACTGAAGTCGCAAGATTGAGGGGCCTGTTCTATACAGAACCCTGAGTTGTCCTCTCAGGCGACAGGGGTCGCTGGCGAAGCCAGCGCTGGTGATGACTACTGCGTCAAGTCGTGCCTGAAAGTTACTGGGACAGTGGTGGCAACTGCATTTGGCGGTTTGTGGGGCATGCTCAAGTGGTGTCCAATTTGTGTGTGTGTGTGTGTTGCATTTGCCGAGGGGAGGTGTTCAAGTGGCTTTTGTCGCAAGTGGCGCGTGGGCGGCTGCGACTCTGTGGACGCCCGTTTGTTGTTGAAGTCGTTGGGAGTGGCCGCAGGTCGGCGCGTCTGGAATCGCTCGCTGCGGAGGCGAACGGCCTTGAGGTCTTGAACAAGGATGCAAGTTGGCCATCAGCAACAGACCTACTTCCGCTGCCTCCCGATTATCCAACAAAAAGTATACTGCCTTTATGCAAAGGAGTGCGCCAGAACTGTAATGTGTTCAGCGTATTCAACATCCTTTACGAGGGGGCCACGATCTACAGTAACGTCCGAGTTAACCCACTGCGCTTTTTGAAGAGTCCAGTTCATCAGGCAGTTGAAGAGAACTGCTGACATAAAGCAGTCAAGGTGGATGGCAATGCCGAAGGCAACGTTATAACCCAAAAACTTGACGGAGGCAGCAGTGGCTGTAGCCACTTGGATGATTTTAGAGATGATTATGAGGAACAGAAGCAACTGGGAAACGTAGCTGACGGTGAATTTGTTAGATGGACTGTACGCTTGCCAATCCTGATGTCCGACCGTTGAGATGTCCTCTGACCACAGGAAGTTTATCTCAAGACACTTCGGCAGTCCGCGCCTCCTTGCTCCCCGCCGTTTTGTCATGCTGACCTTCTGTCCGCCCCATGCTCCCTGTCGATTCACTGCTGGGACCGCGCGAGGCTTGTCGCTGGCCTTACATATGTTCGAAGCCAAACAACGCCGCCGCCTCTCTGATTGGCATGCAGACATTGAGACAGAGCGAAAGACACACACACGCACGCGCTGGGGGCTAATAACGTCAAGGGCGGGCACAGGACAAACAACTTACCTGGGGAATCAGCTTGCGCCAATTGCTTGTTGAGCCTCTTGTACAGTCTTACGCATCAGTAAAGGGCAACGAGAGGGTGTAGGACACCCAACTTAGTTGAGCCAGCCTGTGGACTGTGTGATACGTTGGATGGCGGTAGAGGGGGTTTTACGGGTGGGGCAGCACACTGGACGGAATGCAATAAGATGATGATGATGATGATGATGATGATGATGACGACGACGACGATGATGATGATGATGATGATGATGATGACGATGATGATGATGATGATGATGATGATGATGATGATGATGATGATGATGA